TAACAATTTTATTAGTTTTTACTTCTTTTAACCTTTATTATTATCCTACAACATTTTATAGTTTTTACTTCTTTTAACCTTTATTATATCCCCAACATTTTATAGTTTTTACTTCTTTTAACCTTTATTATACCCACAACATTTTATAGTGTTTACTTCTTTTAACCTTTATTATACCCACAACATTTTATAGTTTTTACATCTTTTAACCTTTATTATATCCACAACATTTTATAGTGTTTACTTCTTCTAACCTTTATTATATCCACAACATTTTATAATGTTTACTTCTTTTAACCTTTATTATACATATATTAAAAATTTGTGGAGAAAAAATAAAAGTACTATTATTGTAGACTAAGAAATTTTAAGCATTTTGTGCTTTTGGTAAAGTACTTTTTTTTCTTGCAGGTGGAAATTGTGAAGATTGGATCCAACAAAACTTTAACAACTTTGAGAGATGTAAGTTTGTTATTCTCTGAATAACTAAGAATATTCCAGATTTTACTGTGCACATTTAAACACTATAGAAGTATTTGATTCAGTACCAACCTTAGGTTTTCTTATTAAAACCTTTGAAAAAGTAATTTATCTAGCAACAGAATAGCAATGTAATTTTACCAGCTTTATTAAATATATCAAGAATGACCTGATTGGAGATGGGTGATTAAATTAATCAATATAATTAATTACTTCTGAGCATCGATTAGATCTATCAATGTCACATAAACAATCAACTAATTGAAATCACTGTTTGTGATTGGTCAAACTGTTGAAATAAATAACATATTGCCATTATAATTTTTCATTAATTCAAGTTCAAATTAATCAATTCATGTTACGACTCAACAAAATAATCAACTAATCAAAATTAATATTTCCAATTATTACTGTTTTGTATTATTCCAATTAAATAAATCTCATGCAAATAACTAATTAGGTGAATGTAATTGAGTAATGAACTTAATTATCAATCAGTTTTCAAGTTTCAAAATCATAACTCGCTGAAGTTTTTCTAAACCTGGGGGGTTTATTATTATTTCAATTTTTAATAAAATTTCTTTATACAGACAGCTTTAATTTCAAATGTGATAGTGATTTTTTAAACACAACATATATGTCATTAAACATTCAGATAATTACTCTTGTCCTTGTGTACTTATAGAAGACTCGAGCATAACATTTGTTTCCTATGCTCTAAGTACATTTTGTAGAATTTAAACAGCTTTTACAGAAAATGAGAGATAAATCATTATTACTGACAAATGTTTTGGACCATCTTCAATTATATCTATATACCACATAATCATATAGAATAATCAACCAAAAACAGTCAGAATAATACCATCTGTATGCATTCAATTCATAATATTTGCATAATATAGGTTTCACAGTTTAATGGGTTATATATTTGAGCTGTGACATTTAGTTACCAATACTACTATATATATATATATATATATATATATATATATATATAATCAGTTGCAAATGTAATGTAGTGCCTATAAATGGAATACATGGCAGGATGATTATCATGATTCATTTGTAAACACTTTACTATGCATTCAGCAATTAGCATATACATTATGTATATATGCATATGAATCACACAATGGAATAGAATGTCATTTTGAATATTTAAATGGTGGCTTACTGACATGCATACACAAAGTCATTTTATGTATAAATGTAATTGTACATATATGGCTACGCCTACATTTGTAACTGATTCGATTCATATGAATATAATTATTAACCATGTTATCTCTCTCAACACAGGCTCGATTGATTTGACCGACCACAGGACCTCTTTGTACTTGCTATAGTTTAGGTACTACAAAATTTTAATATATTAAGTGTATCTTCACAGAACTTGGTGGTAGTGCACTAAATACTTTTTATTTAATAAAATAATGCAACAAAAACATAGAATAATAACATATAAAAAGCAGACAATGTCCCGTAACTAACACAATTTTTCTGTCTTCCTATCTCTGCAAAAAGAACTGTTAAAACTTCATCCAACTACTCAATAGCATTCCCATGGAAACCAAAACCTTTTCTCAGAAAGTAATTTAAATTTTTGTGTGCAGGAAACAACATAATACGTCATTTGATAGATGAAAACCTTGGCTTTTTATTGGTTATAACAAATGTAGCTGTAAATGTAAGAGAGAACTACTGACAAATCCTGAAAGAGAGGATATGACAGGTTGTCGTGGCAGGAGGGGGTTGATTTTCTACTTGATGGCTCTGTTACCAAATAAGATTGAAGATGATATTATAGCGAGTAATTTGTGTTAAGTTTCATACTTATTGGAAGAATGGTTACTAAACTGGAGAAGAGGGGATGCTTACAGAAATAATGTCACAATTTACATACTAGAGGAAATTCAGGATTTCTTTTTCATATTGCCTTATAAAATTAAGAACTTAAAACTTGTATACTATTAAAATATGGCTTATTAGCTACAATTTTATGCTATAGTAATTAGTATAACATAAACAGAAAGTAGTTTCATTAAATTTTGAATGTAATTCAATAAAACCCTGGTAACAGAGAGGGTTATATCACTTAAAGCGAGCCATTTAATGTCATTTTATTCTCTCTATCTGTTCATGATAAGGTGAGTTATTTGCTTCTATAGATCAATTTTTAAATTGTATGATTCTATATATATGTAATATTTCAATGCAGTGCACTGCTAGACCTGCCAAAATTTAAACAAAGTTTATGATTCTCTATATTTTATGCAAGTCAGTTATTTTGGAAGAGTGTAAGCAATGTTTTTTTGTTTTTCTTTATACTCCTAAATTTGTCTGTGCTCTGTCTGTATGTTTTTTTCAATATTAATTACAATACCGGACTCCACACCAGAAAACATTATTGGCTAGACAACATTAAGGAAAAGTGCAATGATTTATAGGTACCATGTAGGATATTAAATCACAATTAAGAATTATCACTATGAATATTATAGAATTTTTTAGAAATTTACCAACTGTACTAAAGACCTAGAGTTCAAATATATACCTGTTATAAGGCTTAGTCCTACCAACACATGTGTTGAACCTAATAATCAGTTTTATAGCTTTATGCAAATACCATTTCTTAAATTATCCACAACACAAAATGTTGCCAATATTTTTATCTAATTTTTAGGTAAATGGATCATCCAAAGAAGCATAAAACTTCACAGGGAGTTTTAACAGCATTTCTAAAGCCAGTAACATCAGTAAAATTGGTATCAGGTGCAGAATCAACATTGACTTCAGTAACAATAAACCCACAATATTAGTGCAATGTGCAGAAACAACATTCACTTCAATAATAACAAACCTACCAGTTTCAACATCACAATGTGCAGAATTAACATCCACAGTAGTAACAAAAACAGCATTGGCAAAAAAGCAAAAAGGCTGAACTTTCAAGGTAAGTTGGAAAACCCTATTCCATGGGTTGAATACAGGTGTGATACGAATGATACAATTTGCAGTGTATATACGTGGGCTGTGCAAAGTAATCGCCTACCTCCATCACAGCATTCCTCTGTTTCCACATCTCCATGGGTAATAGGATGGAATGATTTTAGAAAGGAAAAGGATGGTCTTCAAAAGCATGACAGAAGTCAGAGTCATAGAGAATGCATGACTACAAAACTCAATATTGAAATGCAAAACACAATGGCAAAGTATGTTAGCAGCAAAGTAGTTGAAATATAGAAATAGATGATTTTTGATGCTATTATATATTTGGAAAAGCAAGGTTTGGCATACTTGGGCACTGAGGCTCTTGAAGTTGACTTTATGGAATTGTTGAAGCCGGTATCAAAGCACAACTTCCAGTTTAATACATATTTTTCTTTACATGTCTGTAATATATACTGCAGTTGGGTCTCCTAGAATGAAATCATGAAACTCACAGCTCATAATGTATTCCATAATGTTGTGGGAGCTGTTAACAATAACCATTATTTTGGCATCATTTGTGATAAAGTTTATGACTCTGCATGTAAGGAGCAATTAAGCTTGTGTGTGAGATATGTCGATGATGATTTAAATGTATATGAGAAATGGATAACATTCTCTGTTCTCAATAATGCGACAGCTGAAAACATTACAAGGACTATTATCACATAGATTAGATATTAATCAAGCTCGTGTGCAGAGTTATGATGGAGCCAGAACAATGAAAGGTTGAAAAAGTGGAGTAGCAACATGAATTTTAAATGAACATCCAAAATGCACCTTCAGCTACTGTTCTGGATATGGACTGAACTTGATAGTCCAAGATACAGTAGATTCTCATTTGTACTTCATGGAATCACAGGATGTTCTATGACAGTTGATCGCATTTATTAAATACTCCCCTCATGAAAAGGCATCCTATGAAGCCTTGACAATGGATGATGCCTCTTCTGCCACTTTATGACCTCTGTGTTCAACACTCAGGTTTTGCGAGGCAATGCCGTGATGTCATTTGTAGCTCAATATGGCGGTTTTTTGGATTGCTAGAGGAAACCTGATATTGCAGTGCCATCAAATGTGCGTGTGCAAGTTTGTGGGTTTAATAATAGCATGCAGAAGTTCAGAGTATCTTTAGGTTTGAAGCTGTTTACAATAACTCAACCAGTGCACATTCTAATACAATCACCTAAAGTTTCAGTACAGTTTGTCCCCTCAAAAATTGAAGGCATGGCTTCTCTTCTGGAGGATGCTAATGATGCTACATTACAACACAGTTTTACAAATCCGTTTCATACACTTTTAATTTTATGGGCATTGAAGAGTCTGCATTGCACAGAGATGCAACTGTCGCGTAAACTGTAGAAGCTGAATTAGAAAGTATACCAATCAGTTTTTGCAGCTGCTATTGAATCAGTTTTTATGAGATATCTTACAGATGATTTGCATAAACTAGCAGTTACCGAGAAATTTCTGTGCAAGCAATCTGCAACTGACATTGATGAAATGTATGACATTTATCAAGATGACCTGGTGCCATTAAAATCAAAGAACTGTGTGTAATTTGAAATTGAACAAGTGCACAGTGTCATTGCCAAAAACTTTCCAGATTCATCAAAGATTTCTATAAATTATCATACTTTCTCTCTTATCTCCCTTCTGTTTCTTACCTATATGATTATTCAGACCCAGGTTGACTCCTGTGTACTGTTCAGTGTTATTTGTCACAGACTTTTATATTTCAGGGTCCTTTCAGTGAAATGGGGTGTTCTTTAAGACCACTTGATGTATCCTTGTGATATACAAATTTACCCAATTTTCCAATCCAGCCATATCAATTCCATGGGCTATCATGGAAAAAGCCAGCACCAGGGAAGTGATTGTCCACTTCTTTGGGTTACACTTGCTGACTTTTAAAAATTGGGTTTCATGGTCATCCATTACACTGTTTCGAATAAAAGACCTTTCTGGTTGGTGGTCAGATGGGGATCAGGGAACTTCTCTAGGTCTCTCCAACATGAATTGTTTGCCCCCCCCCCTCTTCAAGTGAAGCTTGAGAGACCCTTGCTACTTACCAGTTCTTATCCACTGGGGTGGTAGATTATAGAGAATCTTCACTGGTTGGGCTTAACACAATACAGTGAGAAGTAGGGCAGTGGTGACACTGTTAATGTAGTATGGGTCACCCCTCAAACAACTATTGTGCCTTCCTCCTGCAGCTAGAGTCTGTTCAGTAAACTTAAGGTGAGCACACATTGTATGGTCTGATCATGCCCTAATCACATTACACGTATTGGCTTTCTGACCATTTATGTGTGGGTGCTAGGTTGGTCATGATCACATTCCTCCCATCCCTGTGACACTTTAGGCTCTTTCATCTTGGGTGGAGAGTCTACCCTGATTGAGATGCAGTCTCCTACAGGTGTGCCCCTATGGAGCCCCTGCCATTGGGTGTCACACTCTATGGGCTTCCCTTTGGGCACTTTCTGAAGGGAGTTCATCTAGGTAATTTTTTTGCACTGACCCCTCCACCACTTTAACACGAGATTTCTAGTATTTCTCTGTGAGGAGGTGAGTTATTCTCTCGGTACTTGACATTTTTCTAATCTGAAAATGTGTTACTGATAGATACCTCTGCACAAGATTCCACTAACCTCCTTACTTTTGGTGCACCTTTTTTTCCTTGTCTCATCTAAGAATGAAATTGTCATGCATGCAAGTGCATAGGAGAGTTACTACTCATGGAGGTTGTGTTGCTCTTCTATTGGTGGAGGGCTATTGTCACATGATGACATCATGAAGGTCAGCACAGTGGCATGCAAATCTCATAGGTAGACGTACAAGGGAAATGGCATTTCAGGTTAGGAAAATTTTCACTTCCACTAATTGCCCAGCTTTAGACTGATTCAAGTGAACTCTGTAAGACAGAATTTTCAATTGTATGACACTTTCTGATAAACAGTGTAAAGTGTTTATAAACTTTGATGGTGTTCTGAAACTTTTACCTAGTGTAAATAAAATAGTTTTTCATCCTTACCACCGTGTTTGCCTTCATCAAGCAAACTTTATTTTGGCCTTATGGTTGTACCATCGTATAAGTAGTGCTGGGCTTTTTTATTGATTATCTATGAGCAGCACTTGCATAAATTTGAGGAAAACTTTACTAATTGGTTAATGTAGCCTTTGATTAACCCTTTCGAGACAGACTTTCACCCGTGACCAATGTCATCCCATTTGTTGACACGCATTAAAAATTTTATAGAACTATTCATGAATTTATGTCAATAACTTTGGTATCAAATTGTAGATTATAATTCAAATTTTAGTACTATATATTACTCAATTTCTTAATTTAAAAGTAAATATAAAAAAAACACAGATAAACATTGAATTTTGTGTGTCACATGGTATAATGAATGCAGCACTGGCTCAAATTAGATGTTTGTGAAGTCAAAATACTAAGTCCATAGTTTCAAACAAGCTAGAAACTCAAATTACTGATATTGACAAGCTAGAATATAAAATAAGAGTCTCTTATCTTTTCAATTTGCTAAGAT